CACGTCTGGCACTGCAGGATTTTAGTCCCTGGCGGCGTAGTGTGTTACTGATGTTAGCCTTTGTTACTTTGGTCCCAGCTCTCTGCAGGTCATTGACAAGGTCCCCCTGTGTGGTTCTGGGATTTTTGCTCACCGTTCTTGTGATCATTTTGACCCCACGGGGTGAGATCTTGCATGGAGCCCCAGATTGAGGGAGATTATCAGTGGTCTTGTATGTCTTCCATTTTCTAATAATTGCTCCCACAGTTGATTTCTTCACACCAAGCTGCTTACCTATTGCAGATTCAGTCTTCCCAGCCTGGTGCAGGTCTACAATTTTTTTTCTGGTGTCCTTTGACAGCTCTTTGGTCTTGGCCATAGTGGAATTTGGAGTGTGACTGTTTGAGGTTGTGGACAGGTGTCTTTTATACTGATAACGAGTTCAAACAGGTGCCATTAATACAGTTAACAAGTGGAGGACAGAGGAGGCTCTTAAAGAAGAAGTTACAGGTCTGTGAGAGCCAGAAATCTTGTTTGTTTGTAGGTGACCAAATACTTATTTTACCGAGGAATTTACCAATTAATTCATTAAAAATCCGACAATTTGATTTCCTGGATTTTTTTTTCCTCATTTTGTCTCTCATAGTTGAAGTTTACCTAGGATGAAAATTACAGGCCTCTCATCTTTTTAAGTGGGAGAACTTGCACAATTGGTGGCTGACTAAATACTTTTTTGCCCCACTGTACATACTATTGTGTTAAGTATCATGGCATTAACTTCATGGCAATCAAGTCTTCTGAACAATATGATTTGGTGCTTAGGATCCTGATGAGTGTATTTCTCACCGTGTGGTTAGACCCGCAGGCCACGTCTCGGATCACCACGTTAGGCACAGGCATGACCTGGCCATCCTTGGACTTCTCGATGAAGATGGCGACACGGCGGGCGATGAGCTCACAGTCGAACTCGATGCGCTGGGCACGAGCGATGAACTTTCCATCACTGTTGTGACCTGCAAGAGAGAGGATGACTCGAGGTTAGACTAATATTTCAAGACATAATACTATTATAATAATGTATATTATAATATATGAATAAAACCACAATGTGTGAAACTAAACTAGTCTGTGGCCGGCGGTGGGCTACCGGTAACGGTTTTTAGTTACCTCATACACTCCTGAAAAACAATCTTATGACGAGGGGAAAAATGACAATAATTCGCATTTTGCACTAGGGGATCGTAGCCAGCCGCGTTTCTCGTTTTAATGCCATTGAACAAAACTTTTGATCAGAATAACAGCAAAAGGTGAGTATATCCCCGTGTTTTGCTACCTAAAGCTTCGTGTGGTCTGTATTTGCTTCCCCTGTCGCGAGTTCTGATCGCTCAGTGATGATCTGTGGAATCTCAGCATGTTAGCGAAGCTTGTTTGTGCAGATCCGATAAGTATATTGATCGATTTATACCTACAGTTTTGTGCTAAGTGAGTTAGCATGTTTTTGCTCAGGGCTCATTTAGACCCTTCTTGTGAGACTTGTGTTTTGTTTCGGTAAAAATGGTTCGCATCATCAGTTAGCTGAGTCTCTTCCCGTTAGGAGGGTATGACACATTCATAGTTCTTTTAAATATTAAGAAGCCCTGAGACAAAGTGTTGTGAAAAAACCCTGTTAAGACCCCGCCGGCGGGGTCTTTGGGGCTTAACAGGTTAAACTCAAACAGGCTGATCAAAAGCCTTAAAAAGTCAAAATCGGCTCCAAAGAACTGTCTCATGTAATTCTTGATGACCTCCTGATGGCAAAGGCCAAAAGGCTTTCTGTCTTTGAACGTGGCAGGATTGTTGAGCTGCACAAGGCCTCTCGCACTTCGCACCTGCCGAGGCTGGACGCAGTCAGACGCTCGTTTTACATTTCTTAAAAGATCCTGAGGGTTACGGGACAAAAAAAGTCAAGCTGTAAACCCAAAAGCAATTCACCTGCACCAGAGTCCGGTTGTTTAGTTCACATCAGAGGCCTCAGACTGCGTTCACACCAGTCCAAACAAACCGCACCAAGGTGTTCAACGCTCAAGGGTTCGATTCGACCGGACTACACAAGACTGGTGTGATCGCAACCTTGAACTTTTGATCAGCCCGTTTGAGTTTGAATGCAGTTTTCAATAAATTGCATACTCCAATTTGAAGCTCTACTTACAACCTGGTTACGATCCACCAGTGCGAAATGGGAATTCTTGTAATTTTCCCCCCGGTCTTAAGATTTTGTTCAGGAGTGTATCTTTGACAGGCAGGTGCTATTACCAATATGTCAACTTCTGTATTAAATCTTCAAATAACTGTGCAGTGTATGCTTCCACCTTTAATACCGTCATCTGGCTGCTATCTCATAACTGCTACGGGTACTGGATGTGCATTTTGTAAATTGTGTAATCTCTACTCATCTGTAATACTTTTATGGACGGTTCTTAATTAATATGGAGCTATCTTTGGCTCTTTACTTGCTGTAACTTAAATGTATTCTGATTTGTGCTAAACTTTGTAAAACTGTCATCAACTTCTGATATTGGCACAAACATCTGTCTAACTGCTCACTCAGCTACTCAAACACTCTTCACAAAGTAGCGTTAGTCCATTGTTAACGTACCCAGCTGTCCGTACTCGGGGCAGCCGAAGGAGTAAAGGTTTCCTTTGCAGTCCACCACCATGCTGAACTCAGCTCCACAGGCCACCTTCACCAGGGGTTGGCCATTGTAGGAAATCTAGAGGAGTGAGAGAGAGACTGTAAGACAATAGAGAGGGCCCTAACATGACTCCTATGAAGTATCCGAGAGGTAACTGCATTATTATAATGCATCTAAAAACGCTTCTAGCTTTCCTTCTGATGCAGATTTGTATCCATGTCAGAACTGTAACAGTGAATTCCTGCCAACTCGGCCCGGTGCACAGTATGAAGACTGACGCACTTAAGGCAGATCTAAATTTCACAGACACAAGCTCTACTCTGAAACTGTTATTCGTCCTCACTGAGCAGAGGATTCAACTGCGCACATCTTACAGCGTCAGACAGATGTGTCCCTCACCAGGATAATACATGTTTGGATGCTTTGAATGTATAATGATTGAATGAGAAACAGTCTAAATGCACATTTTATCTTGCATGTATACGTTATAGCATAAGAGATGCTCTTCGGTTTTATAGCCTATTGCGACCTGTTTCTGAAATAGTTTTTTCAGTGTACCAGGGGTAGACATTAAGGGTAAAATGCCACTGGCCCTCCGGGCCGGTGGAATTGTATTATTACTGGCCCCACCATTGTAACCACTGGCCCGGAGCATTCGTCCAAAAAAAAAATCGACTTATAATGAAGAAAATGAACACATTTGTTGCAATAGTAATTTATGCACTAACTACATTACTACTTGTACTACAACATTTGAATCATCAGTTCTTCCTCATTTCCTCAATTGTTCATATTTGGTTTATTAAAATAATGATATTGTGGTCATTGTTAAAAAATGTCAGCTATTATTATGAGTATTATTATTTGTATAATGCGCTTTCTGCCTTCCTGTCATTAGGAGTTAGAAATGTAATGGCTATGTAATAGATTAGAACCTTCATTATCCTAAACTGCTGGGACATTTCCCTAAAGCCAATACCTTTTATATTTTCTACTCTTCACTTACTTGTCAGCATAGGTCGGCATTGATGTATAGAGCCGACAGAAGACCTTGTTTATATTGGCATCATATTGAGAGGTGCAGTGACGTGTCCTAAAACCGGGAAGTATAAGCTGCTGGTTTCCTCGACAAAAAGCAATGGGATTTCTCCAAAGGGTTTTGGAAAATAGCCGGAAATAAGGTCTGTGGAAAACAAACCTGTTTGATAAATGCACGTTTTTTTCAGCCGGATAATCTCCACATGTCTACCCTACTTTTATAATTTTCAAATCATAAATCTAATCGATAGATTATAAAAGGGTTTTAGGACGAGTCACTGCACTAGAAGCCAACTCCATCGATCAAGCTGGCTGAAACGTTCTCTCCCTCTTCTTCTCATACTCCCTGTCACTCTCCTTTAACTCCTCCTGTGACTTTCTTTTATTTGAAGATTGTTTTTTGCCCGGCACTTGGCCGGTTACCGCTGGTATTAAAAACATTATGGCGAATGGTTAGGTGGCGCAATAGTCTGTAGTGAAGGAGCGCGCTCCCGCTCACGGGAGCCTGCTCGCGCTCCACTCCGCAGCAAACAGCTGTTTGCTTTTCACCCTACAACGACAACCGACTCACAAAACGCTATGTTGTAGCGTTTATAAACGAAACAATTTAACTAAATTGCAAGTCAAAATAGCAATACCACAGGACAATTCTTTTTTTTAAAGCAATATTTTTGGTGGCCCGAGCGGGCAAGTGGAAAGTACGTTA